TTTGTATAAGGAAAGTCATGGTTTTTAAGTATAATGGAGTGAATTAGTAAATAATTTGTCTACAGGGACTTATTTTATTACTAGGACTTATTATACTGGTGACTTTGTTCTGCAATTCAAGAAAACATATCATAAAAAACAGTATTTTTCACCTGAACACATGTTACACGATATCATTATGTTTCGGATCAGTATGTCCCTCATCAGCAGGTTTATGAACAATAATTTAATTTTTTGATTTTTAAATACATCAACATTCAAAAGCATAAGTAGCACAAATTCAATCATACCTCTAACATTCATCATTGTTCTTCTATCATTACTCAAACATTCTGATGATATTCATAACAATGATGAATATTAGAGGTATGATTGAATTTGTGCTACTTATGCTTTTGAATGTTGATGTATTTAAAAATCAAAAAATTAAATTGTTGTTCGTAAACCTGCTGATGAGGGACATACAGATCCGAAACATAATGATATCGTGTAATATGTGTTCAGGTGAAAAATACTGTTTTTTATGATATGTTTTCTTGAATTGCAGAACAAAGTCACCAGTATAATAAGTCCTAATAATAAAATAAGTCCTTGTAGATAAATTATGTACTAAACATAAGATAAGGACACAAAGGCATATAATTTGATAATGGAGATGGAGTGGTGTTCAGTGGTGCAAATAGCTCTGCAAAGAGTAAGAAAATAAAGGTGTCAGAAAAGATCAATAGTATATGGCAAGACAGGTGAAACAGTTGTACTAAGGGGAGGACAGCCTATAGCTTCTTCTCCAGTATTAATAAGAATCTGAATGCAAAATGGCTACAACCCAACTTTTACTCTTCCTGGTTACTGGGTGGTCATGGTGATTTTAGAAGTTAAAGATGTTCCACCTGGTTGTGTAAGGAACCAAGTTCGAGCATTATTTTTATTTACTTTTATTTTGCTTTTTATTATATTTTTGTTTGGGGCTTATGTTTTGTTAGAACGAAGGTTTCCTCACCATTCACCTTAGACACTTAAAAATAGAAGAGAAACCAACTCACCAACGAGAGAAAGCACCGTAGAAAAAACTCGCGCACACTCATGCTCCCGAGCGGAAAAAAGTAGGTCCGCACCGAGGAAAAGAGGGGAGAAGACCCCACAAGAACAACTTAAATTCGCTAAACCTTAAAAGAATAAAACATCCCGAAAATTGTAAAAAAGAATTGGTAAAAGGTTAGCGAGTATTGTCAGAAAATAGGCTGCCAGACAAATAGAAAAGTTTATTGTTAGCAAATAAGTATGTAAATGAGGGGAGTGATTGCATTTAGAATTGTGACGTCACCTCACAGTATAAAGACTGAACCTCAAGTGAAGACGGACGAGGTGAGCTTCTGATAGCAATGAGCTTGGTGAGCTTCGTAGCAGTGAACGAGAGAGGTGTCCGATAGGATCAAATAGTTCCAAGGCGATTTTGAAGTTATTTGATTTGTGGATCGACAAATAGAGAAAGTCTTGAGAGTTGAGGAAATAGGTTCCTAGTATATTGAGGTGACGATTAGTACCTTTAATTCATAAGAATTATTGTACAAAAATTAAGTCTTTGATTTTTGTCAAATTCCAAAGGGGAATAGAATTAAGTTAGAAAATAGATTGATTTGAGTTTTGTCGGGTTGATTCTTATTGATTTTCATTGAATAAATTGTTACTTGATTTTTACTAAATTTTGTATATAGTTATTATTAGAAGTATTTATTAAATATTTAATTTATTATTGACAAACTTGGTCATTATTTAATTTGGTGCACGCTTAAAGTCCAGGCCTGGCACACTAACACGAATCCGCGTAAAGTACCATTAGGGAATGGCTATTTCTGGCACACAGTCGTGTCGATAATTGTTGGAAAAGTTGGAAAAATAAAATAGTACTTTACAGTTGATACTAACATATTCAAGTTTGATGCCATCAACACCCTCCAACACTTTATGTTCGATTGTGGTTGTTTTAATAATAATACAGAAAGGCTAAAGCATAAATATATCTCCTCTCAAAGAGTAGAGTTTGATGAGGTCTGCACCAATGTAGTGTGCACTAAAAGGGTATATAATGGTGCATTAAAGATTTTAAGTGGCATGTTTAGTGCAAGAATAGTTTTAAGAATTGGTATTTAAGTTTTTTATTTATCTTAATTTTATCATTTTATAGGTATATATATTTTGGTTTCAGGGTATTATTGATGTATTGTATATAGTAGTATGATGTAAAATTCCAGTTTTTTTACCTAGTTAAGATAGATACAAGTTTTATTGTAGAACATATACATTTTTACTGTATATAGGGTTTTATATAGTTATATATAGATATATAGTTATACATTGCTTTTAAGATTTTATTGGTTTTTATGATGTAGGTCTGGGTGCACTAGTTCTTTGAAGTACAAGGTTATATGGTTTTATATACAGGGTGTTTATAATTAAAGTTCCACTTTGAAATGGCCATAAAATGAAAACTACTGGACAGAATGTTATCAAACTTGGTAATAGTGTACAGGATGTCATGGGATTTAATGATGTTTTAAATTTCACAACT